GAACCCAAGCTTGGGTTGAGAAGACAGGTTATTTGGTTTGATGAAAGAGGACGACATTAGGAGTATGGGGATATTTAATGTTTTTTTTGTTTTTTTATAAGTCAGCTTCAGCAGTTTAGATTCTAGACTCTAGAACAAAGTGCAAAGCCTGGAAATAGAAACGTGCAGTGCTAGCAATGAGAAATAATGGTTGACTGAATTTGAGGAGATAGAGTAACTATGAAAGGCATACAAAGTACTTTGGCCCACAAGGTCCCAAGGGCAGCAATATTTCCTATGGAAGCCTCATTCAACAGAGATAGCAGAGAGCAGCAGTTATCTCTATTTGTTGATTGAGTTCATGACTCAATTTTTAATAAATAAAACAATTGCAGTCTTCATAAAACAATACTCGTACTTCGAATCTGCTGATTTAAAAAATGACAAGAGGTGTAAATTCAGCAACATTTAAATTTATATTTTATTAATTCTAATGCTCTTTACATACATGTAAAAACCATTGATAGCACAGTATTTTATCTACTAACGAGGCTGGGCGTGTATAGAGACTTTCAGGCCTTTGATAACCTAAGGGCCCACAGCTCACAACTTGGGAATTACTGAATTATGTTGTCTCCCAGGGCGTTTCCAGCTCTAAAATGTTATGAATCTGTACTCATAACAAATATTTTTAAAGCATAAGTTGCATTCAATGTATAAATTCAAAGAGAGCAGAAAACTGTAATGTGTCTTTAAAAGATCTCCATCAAAGTCTGTTAAGATAGAGCTTGGCGTAAGAGTCAAGCTTCAGTTATCTGGACCATTCATTTTTGGGGATCATTCCCTCCTTGACAGTGAGGCATAATACTTAACCTGACAGTGAACTAAGGTGATAGTTGGGCCAGTTTCCCAAGCCTTTTGCTTTTCAGAAACCCTGTTATTTGTCATCTTAGAAGGCAGAAAAAAAGTAGTTATACCTCATTTTCTTAAAAGAGCATGAAATATCCTGGAAAGCTTTTTCTTAAATCTTATTTCACTAATTACAAATTAAGACAAAAGTCTAAGATGATCAAAGGAAATGAGAAGTAAACAGATGTACAGGCTCTCAAGAAAATACTTAAAGGAACGGAACCCAGAGCCAGGCATCGTATTTTTCCATTGAAAGGTGCTTGGAGATGAAAGAGAAATCCTAAAGTTTGATGAGGTCAGAGACGTTGGCTGGCTCTGATGGCATGACAGACTTTATTGCCCTCTATATTTACACACGTTATTTTAACTGCTTTTTTATACTTAAATTAGACTTACTCAGTTTATTATTTATTTTTGGTTCACTTGAATTTATGAGTGTCCTCAAAATAACAGCATTTTACTGACATATATACATGTACATGTGCACATATATGTGTACATACCTGAATGTTCCTGTAGAGGTTTCTAAAAATAGAAACAACATTGGCTCTATACTGTACACAATATTAACTTTTAGCTTCAGTTTTTCCAGAGCAAAAGAGGCATAATTTTGCCTCCCTGGGTAATTTTTAGTATGATTTTCAATAGAATGAATCCACCCTGAAACACGCTGGCCCTTCCCTCTCACTGTTAGAAAGTCACAAATGCAAATATGAATTCAGGACCTCAGTTTTACTGGAACTTGCCAATTACTAGCCTCTACTAAGATTTTTTTTAAAAAGGTGTACTTAATTCCGCATCATTTGAATATGACTTTGGGGCAGCTTAAATGGGAATGAAGCGTTAGCTGTTTGCTGCACAGCAGTCAGCAAGGGAGAGCGTTCAAAAGGCCTGCCTCTAGCTGGAGGCATTCTGGGGCCACTAACACAGCACTGAGAAGCCTCTCAGAAGTCTCTCTTCACTATCTCTCCTCCCTTCTCATAGGAAAAGGAATTTATTTTTGCCTGAACATCAGTTCTTCCTCTATTTATCACCACTTCAGATGAGTTCTTTTGGTTAAGGAAAAAAATGAGGAGCAGTAGGGCACCCATCAATCCTGTGCCGCTGGCCACCTCTTTAATTCCACAACTGTGTGGCCTGTTTTCTTGCAGTCTTTCTGTGTAGCATTTGTTATTCCCTCTGCCACTTTATGCCAAAGTGCTCCAGCACACAAAGCAACGTGGAAATTGGATTTGAGGTCACTATTACCTTTACCTGAAGATTTACCTTCACCCCAAAGTGGAACTGTTGGCAGGTTGCCTGTCACCTTCTTCAGTCTCCTTCCCTTAGGTAGACAAGCCTGTATTGCCTTGGGGCTTCAGGGCCTCGGTTCCCTTTAAAGAAATCAGGCATTTGCCCAGCATGACTTTGCTTTGTTTGAGGTGTAGTGGCCAGCCCAGCTCTAAATCCATGGCCCTCTCGGAAGATCAGAAATTTAGTGTAAGACAGTTTGCTTGGCTGCTATGGCAGGGTGACCCTAAGGAGACATTTCTGAGCTTGGTGCCAGCTGTGGGAGTCTTTGTGATTTAGACAAGGAGGGGCCCTTGGTAGAAAGTCATTGGGAAAAGTCCTGGCGCCTGAGGTATAATTGATGTTTTATTAGAGGCAGAGGCCAACTTGATACCATATCCCCTGTGACTTCAGTCAAGCTCAGGAATGTATAAGGAAATGGGTGTAGGTTTCAATGAATAAATCCCTATAAGTCCCATTAAGTTAGGTAAACATTTAGTTCCATTCTCGGTAGCCAGTGGATTCCTTGGATATTCACAGCTTCCCCAAGGATGCCCATCATTGGGGAGGTGACATGGACTTTAAGAAAACTTTAGGTGGAAAGAAACAAATTGGCTGCATCCAGTAATGGAATTCAGCTACATATGTGTGGTATTTTTCTTAGCATCTAAGGATCTGAGCAGTGTTACCACCCATGGCTATGGATTCAGTCATCACTTCTAGCCAAGCTAGGTACTAAGGGCTCCACCAGCTCCCAGCTATGTCTCTCTTTGGCAAGGCCCATTTCTATGGTTTGGGGCTCTTTCCAATCCTGGCTATCAAGAGGAGCCCCATGTCCACTTGGAGCACACCTGGCTGGCACCATTCAGAGCATCCCCCAGATATTCTGAAATGACTGCAGAGGTAGCAGAAAGCAAAGCCCTGTAAGCTGAAATGTCCCAGCACTCGGGTAGCCCTAGAAAAGTCTACCCAATTTTATATAAATACTTAGACAGGCATGAAATGGATTTTCTGGATGTCTGGCTTTTCTTCCTATTGGCTTCTCTCTTCATTTTTGCTGCTGCTTCCTTTTTATTTTATTTTTTCTTGCCTTTTTTTTCTCTCTTGCTAATTCTGATCCAATCAGGTAGCAATGCATTTTCCAGGGAGCCTTTTTAAATAGTGTCTTCCTTAGTCTATTTAGTGGAAATGCAAGTTGTTTCCGCCTGTTACGGTCAAAAGAAAATTTTTTTAATGTTCCCTTTGCATATTTTTAAATTAGGTGATAATTCCTTGCCTTTGATAGACTCTACCCAAATTAAAAATTTTTCAGATTACAAATACAAAACTCAGCAGCTCTTCCCCCACCCCCCTTTCTTTTGTTGTTAATGAAGAAGTTTCTAGCCCTTCTGCTTGTGCCCCTTTCATATACAAGGCTGCCCTCTGGCCACACGAAGCCAAGTGGAAACATTGACAAATGAGGTGTGAGCCCATTGCTCTCAGGGCCTAGTTCATGTCAGCTGACCACGAGAGCCAACCCACACCACTACTGCCCCAAACACACTTTTTGAAAATGCCCAGCCTTTTTGGCTCTGGTGTGTGTCTTTTTAAGTGGAGGCAAGGTAACCTGCTGGCCCTGTCTTTAAGTGGGTGCTGCCCCACCAGAAATGCAACTTAACAAAAAGCAGAACTTCCTACACTGGATGTCAGGCCTGCTTCCCGAAACACACAGAAAGATTGACGCCGGCAAAGACATGCTAGTCCGAACTCGGGAGAGCAAATACCTCACTGGAGGGGATAGGACCAGAGATGGAACTTAATGGCTTCCCTGAAAAATGTTTAAAAATGCATGTGGCTCCATTCTATGTTAGTCCTGCAGCAGTCAAAATAAACCGGACCTGTCAGGAAGCAACGCTGAGAGAACGTTATGAATAGGCTTCTTTTGTAAAGCTGTCACTTCACACACCCAGAAAAACCAACCAAGGGTAACGCCGGCTCCCTCGACGTTGATTTTGGTTAAATCCCTCCCTTGAATGACCTCAATTTAATTTGGCTAGTTATGTGAGTCTTGTTGCTTTTTCCTAGTTTTCTGGAAAAGAAATTAAAAGTGGGGGCCACGCAGATGTTGCCCACTGTGCGGAAGGGCTGAGAATGCTGGTGAAAACCAGTCCCGGCTTCCCGAGCACACCCCACTGGCTTCTGAATGAGAGCCTTGTTACCTGGAAGTATTTTCAATATAAAGTTTGGCATTATAGCCATGGAAAGAATCGACCCTTTCACACATAGCTGCTGGTATCCCGTTCCCTGGGACCTGTGTTAGTATGGGGGCCCTCGCTGAGCCTGTGCCCCCTCGAGAGGATAGTCCCCCTAACTCCTTGTTGGAAGGACTAGTCCATTTTCTTCTAGTTCAGCCCAGCAGAGATCCCTGCTGGCCAGGAAGTCCACCCTAGCGACATGGGTAATGTCAGTTTTTGTGTGTTTAAAAAAATTGTTTTTAAACACCCTTGGCAGATGGCCGCTTTGCCAGGCTGTCAAGTCTCTCCTGATTTATGGGCCTACTGCTATAAATCCCGGTTTCTAGAGTTAGAACTAAAACCAGATCCCAGCCCACAGAGGCTAAGGTCACAGATGTGGGCACTATAGGTGCAGCCTCCTCGGAAAGACCTAACCCACCAGGAGGTCCAGGCAGCACCTTTTGTATCCACCCCAAAGGGAAGGACCAGGCCAGGCCTGTATTCACCCTCTGTGACTGCTGATGGAGTTGTGAGACAGCTAGCAGCTTCTCTTAGGGGTATTGTGGGTTCTTCTGCGGCCCAGGCTCAAGGGGGGGCAATAACCTATTTCATTTTATTTTTATTTTCCAGTTCTCTCAGGCCAGGCACACCACAGCCCTTTGAAACGATCTGTGTCCCTTACCCCACCCATGAATGTGCCAAACCAGCCTCTAGGACATGGATGGATGTCTCATGAGGACTTGCGAGCTAGAGGACCCCAGTGCCTCCCATCCGATCATGCCCCCCTGTCTCCACAAAGCAGTGTAGCCTCTTCAGGAAGTGGTGGGAGTGAACACTTAGAAGATCAGACCACTGCTCGTAACACATTCCAAGAAGAAGGTAGTGGTATGAAAGGTGAGTGACCGAATGAGAAACCACTGGGAACAGAGTCCCTCCCTTTATTTGGAGTCAGAAGGGTAAAAAGAGAGGGAGTCAGCAAGAGAGAAGGAGCCCACCCCCTCCCCAGGCCCATGCGTTGAACCCATCCATTGCAGAGCTCCAGGGTTGGCCATGGAAGAAAGGGCTCAGATTCCCCTTCTAGGGCTTCTTGCCAAAACCCGGGAAGCAAGAACCTGAGCAAGAGAGGTCAGTGCCTTCTTTAATTAATTTGTTTTTTTAATGCAATGACTTATAGACAATCAAATGAGTCACAGCCAATGCTGATAGGATCTACTGTTTGCACGGACATTGCTCAGTCTGCCCTGTTTATAAAGATGCTGAGCTGCTCCTGCCCTCTACCTTCTTGTCCATGTGTTGCCATGGCCATGGAACCGTCAATAATTTAGCAAAAAAACCCACAGAATCTTTTTTTAAACCTCTCTTAATGCAGAACTGTAGTAGTGCTTCCTCTCTCTCTCTCTCTCTCCCTTTCCCTTTGATATCCACAGAAACCTTTCAACCCTTTTTCTTTGCATCTGTGAAGGGATATGAAAATATCACTGGGAATCTGACAGTGTTTTTTCAGCCTGATAACAGGTTTGCATACAGATGATAAAGACCTTTTGTGCAGCATAAATAAATGTTCCTACATTTCCCTGTAAATCTACCCTCTTCTAAAGATCATCATCAGGAGATACAGATTTCCAAATTACCCATGATAGGTTCAAAGAAGATTCGTGCGTTCTGTATTTCTAGATGCCATTTATTCAAGGGCTGGGAATTCCTTAGGGAAAGATGCTCATCAGAGACACACTAATAACAATTTTAGGTGGAGAAACAATCACTAGTCATGTTTCTGGGACTCTGAGGCTGAGGGGAGGCTCTAAGGGCACTCCTTTTGCTGGCGTTAGTCCTGAGTTTTTGCTGTTTCTGATCTTTGCCTTGAAAAGGGTCAGTGTTGACATAGGAGGCTCTGTACGGAGTCCCCTCCCTGCCACGGAAGCCTGGCACAGAAAGATATGCACAACTGCCCAGAAAGGTGCCAGTTGTAAGAGAGCACCAGGCTGAAAATGGAATGAAGCTAATGTGAAGCCGCATCCCTGTGCAGGCCTGACCCTGCGTTCTCCCCACCCCAACACACCCCATCCCACCCCACCCCAGCCCCGGTGGGCCCTGTGCTGAGTGCCCAGAGCACGTGGGATGGGTTCTGATGTTTTCCTCTGGGGATACCAATGGGTCTTTAAAGGTGTTTATAGGCAGCGAAAACAATGGCTCGTTTTGGCATGAAAGGGATGTGTGTCCTCTCTCTCTCTCAGTTTTCAGGGAAATGTGCCATATTTTTGGAGACTTAGCAAAACTCATTTCTGAGTTTATGCTACATGGTTTTGTGCTCAAGCAGCTGAGGCCCAGGTGATGGGTAGCAGGTGAGGCTCAGCCATGCTTCGGGTAAGCCAGCAGGGCATCTGTCACTAAGGCAGTGAAGTACCTGAGGGACCAAGGGAGGCAGAGTCAGCCATGGCTCTGGACCAGATTTTTCTAGGCGAAGTGGAGTGTCTGGATGGCATGTTTCCAAGAAGTTGTATGTGTGGCTCTAATTGGTGACTGTGGGAAGGAGGCCTTGCCTTTGTGCTGAAGGCTAAGGAAGGTCTGGCGAGAAGGCCATTCACCAGGATACAGACCTCTCCCAGAGAGGAATGCCAGTTCCCCTGCTCTGTATGGGAGGTGTGTTTGCTTTTCTTCCTTCCTTTTTTTTCTTTCTTTCTTTCTTTTTTTTGGAAGCCTTTTGTACACCTTACACATTCTCTCAAAGTAGGCAAAAGTATGCTCATGGCGAGCTGGCATTTTGAGGTGAGAAATAAGTAAAGAGAGCATGTTTTTAAAGAGAAATAAATGAAAGAAAATTCGATTAAATGTCCTATCCTTGTTTTAGAATAAAAGCCATAATATTCCAAAGTTCAAGGACTATCCCACATACTGTATAAGCGTCTTCAGTTCCTGCCTTTAGAATTGACGGGAATTGTCTCCTTGGAGCTTCTTCCATCAGAAAAGACACAGACAAGGTCTGATATCCAAGATTTTCTTTATCGGCCTGAGGGGCATGGTCAGAAAACAGGGTGCTTGGTGACTGGATGACTGTCTTCCACGTGTGTCCACCTTCTGCTGACCTATTCCAGTGTTCTTCTTCCAAGGAATTGGACTGGGATGTAAAGTATAAAGCCCTTAGCAAACTAAAGGGAAAACACATTGGAAGGAAGGAACAGGAGAGACAATGGAGGATTCTATCTGTGGGAAAAGCATATTCGCAGTAGAAACATCCATGCCCCAAAACAGCAGCATTCCTGAGTCCGGGGCCAGTGCATGTGAAACCCCAGCACCCCTCCCCCAGCCCTGCCTCGACGACGTGTCCTCATGGGGCAGCCAGGGCTGCGGATGGCCTCCCAGGAGAGCGCTGGAGAAGCAGCCTGAACAAGCCTGTCCCGGGAGTGTGTCATTTGATTCCCAGGTCCAAGAGCAGATGCTGGTTTAAATTTCCAAATTAATTCCTACTTTCTTATAAATGAAATATGAAATCTGATGAAGTGCTTTTAAAAAGAGCCAGCACTTCCTCTCGGAGCCACAGCTCTCTCTTTCTTGTGACCCGGCCCTTTGGTGGGAGGGCCGGCCTTTTTCCGCTCCATGCTGGTCCACCTGGTCCACTTCGGGACGCCATCACCTAATTGCCGTTTTTCTAATTTTTAAACACCCCGTTTACAAGAACAACAAGGAATCTATAGTAGAATTTGGAGGAGTTCCAAACCTCCAAGGGACGCATGTCAGCCCTCACCCCACACCTTGGGGAAAGAATAAAAAGTCACCATAATTGAGTTTAATTCAGTGTGAGCTCATCGCTCCCGCCAGCAGCTGTACGAACCTTGCTGAAACACTGCGTTCACCCGTTTCTCCCTTTTCATCTCGACAGAGTAGCCAGATTTGGCTATGAATTGTCCCTGAGGAATGTGCCTCTCAGTCAAAAGTGTGAAATAAAGCTCACGGCCCAGCATTCTTGCTCTTTTCATTTTTTCACAAACATCGATCTGGCCCTTTTTTATGTCTTGGCGTCAGCACTCCCTGCCAGGGATTCTCACAAAGTTCTCTCCCAAGGAGACCAGCTCCTGCTCTCAGAGGATTAACATCATCTGCCTGCTGTGATTTGTTTTTCCTTTTATAGTAAATACCCATCCTGAAGGTTTAAGTCAGCTCCAGAGCACAGAGTGGCTGGCCCTGAGGGCAGGGATCTCAGGCGAATATCTCAGGCCAAGGGAAGAAGGGGATCAGCTACTCTACCAGAAATGAATGGACAGGAGTTCAATCCTGAGCAGGGATGTGGAAGTTTCCCCCTTTGACATTCCCTGGGGAGGCTACTGCTCATACATGTTTGGGCTAAATATGCTGGTTGTGGTTTCTAAATTCAGTTGTCCTTGTTCTTTGCAAAAGCGTCACTGTGGCTTCTCCCAGGGGAACAAGTCTGGAATCTGAGTCTGTACTCAATTATAACACCCCCTTTTCCCTCGGCATCACAGGAATGCAACCTTCTCTCTTACCTCTTCTCTCATGCAAAGCCTTCAGGTGGCCAAGAAGGAGAAAAAAAAAAAAAAAAAAGCATTTCCATAATTTCCTAGAAAGAAGAGAAAATATGGAAGAGAAGTCTGTTGTAGAATAAGCACATTTGCCCTTTTATCAGCATTGTGTCCTCAGAAATGTAGCAACTCAACAACTGAAGACTTATCAGAAGGCCAAGGCTGTTGATGGGTGATGTGGCCGTGTTATATGGCAGCAGAGAGAGGGAAAAAGATTGATTAACAGGTTTCAGTCTGGTCCTCATTCAAGTGGGGTGACTTTTTGAGCACCTGGTGAGAGAGGCTCTGACTAGCTATTGGGGAGACAGAGGCAGAAGAGACTATTCAAGGGACTCACTATCACATGAGAAGCAAACAGGTACCTGATGCAGGTGCACAGCTGTGAAAACGTCTTGTCTTGGAGACTTGCCCGGATCAGGGCTGGTACCAAGGAGGGCCCTAAGTCAAGTGGAGGGAAGTCAAGGCAAGTTCCGGCGGAGAGGCCTGGAGCTGAGTCCCAGAGCTTGATTACAGGTTAACCAAATACCAGAAGGTGAGGGAAGGGCATTCGACACAGGAAGCAGCAAGTGAGAGAGCATGAGACAGCTTGGCCAAGTAGGTCCTGTGGCTTAAGTGTTAAGGACACCTGGGAAAGGGAGCTGGAGAGGGAAGAGCCACATGCTGGGCTTCACGAAGGGCCTTGGCTTGTATCCTGATGTTGGTAGAAGCTGTTAATGGAATTTCAGCAGCAGAGTGGCCTGCTTAGATTTGCACACAAGAAATGGAGCCTGGCAGCAGCATCGAGAATAAATCAAAGTGAGAGGGCACGGGGGTTCTGGATTTGGAGGCCACCTGAAAAGTGGAAGAAACTTCAGTAACTGAGGATGAAAATGAAATTGGGCCAAGGCAATTGGCAGTGAGAATGCAGAGAAGGGTGTGTTCACGGGATGTTGGTGAAATGAATGGACACTAATGGAATGTCGACAGTGATGGAGCAGGAGGAATCTAGGATGATGCCCTGGTTTCTGTCTGAGACGTTTGCATAGCCCAGGGTGTCATCTACTGCAGAGAGTATATGGGTGAAGAAAGAGTTTGGGGAGATAATGTTGGGCAGGGTGAATGTGGGAACCTGTAGAACATTCCAGTGGAGATGTGCCAGCCAGGACTGCCAGTGGACCATGCTCTTCACTGGCACAGCCTTTTTTAAGAGCTCTAGCTTCTCCCCTCACCTGCACAGATTAAACATTATGCTTACCTGTAGTGAACTTCATCGGGTAGACTTCATTCCAGATTTCTGGCTAGTGAAGCCCATAGCTTTGGGGTCCTAAGAGTGAGACTTTGTCATTGCAGTTGTCGGTGCGAGAGGGGTAGAGATTGGAG